AAAAAACCGAACGGCAAAAAAAAGGGGGGGGGGGTCGTACCGAACCCCCAAAAAAGGGGGGGGTCGTACAGGCTCGACCAAAATCCCCATCGAATGCTGTGCCCTGGGTCCAAAATCCACTAAGTGACACCTGTCTCGTGAAAAAATAACATTGTGACCCTCCGTAGAGCAAATGTCGTCATTCTCTCCAGCCCGCCCCCAATTTGAGGGAGCGGGCGGCTTCTTTTTCAACGAGTGCGAATGAGAAGCTCTTGAGGGTAAAGTCGGCTAAGGCCAGATTGTCATAGCGCCTGCCACAGACCAGTGCTTTCCGTCAACCGCTACAGCTGAAGTCGCACATATGGTATACGGTTGCTGGATCCGAGCCCGACATTTTTCGCCGCGGAATGCCTTCCCAGCTGGAACCTATCAGGCACGGTCAACGAGGACTTTCCTGCTAATTATGCGGTAGCTATCCGTTTCGATCAGGTAGTCGAGATCAAGGCAATAGATATTGCAGTAAACATTTTTCTAACGACCAGCGTCCGCGATCGCCAGTCAAACATAAGATGTGGAGCCTTGTAGCTCTCCATGACATATCTCCTGAGTTGAATTCACCCACTACCAACATCTGCGCATTAGTGACTTTTGGGCTCACTGAACAAGAACGCCAATATTCCATCTACGACGAGGGCAGTCAAATTTGGCTCATGACTCCAGTGCTTCGGTAGGGTACACCATCAAACACATCTTATCGAGCATCCCCATTTTATTGGGTGCAACTCAGCCAGCAGACTGTACTAGTCTAGTCTGTGACCAGATATTAGACCCTTTATTTCATACACACGCTTTTGTGTTCAGGGTAAACGCTATGAGGTTCTCCTTGATCACAACGTTTTACTTTTTTCGCCTGTTTTGAAGCATAAATCGTCTCTTTCACATTCCTTCCAGAGCATCATCGTGCGTAATTATTCCTCCTATTGAATGAGCCCATGATTATTTTGAATAGAATTGTTTCCTTGTATGAGGCCCGAGTTAGTAATCTGACATTGACTTTGTGTACTTGGGCTTATTTCTATTTCCAACTTTTCATAAGTTTTCTTCTAAGTCCATGTTGGCCTAGTTTTACTTTGAGTTTGGAAAATGTATTAGACACAATCAATGTAGAATCCTACGATTCTAGTCTCTTTGTTTTCTGCCACTCGTTAACATGTTCCCATGTTTTGAAGAGAATGACTCACTGATGATTCAAAAAAACCAACATCTTGTTCACTATCAGAATCTTTTTTGTCGACTGCTTTTTTCAGTTTCTTCTCCTTTGCTGCTTTTTTCTGCAACATTAATAATTAGACCCGGACTTTTACTTGCAGCGGCATTTCTTTTCTCACAACGGAGATACAGTTATACTCTAACCTTTTTACCGAACTGATAGTAACGACAACGGAAGACGGTAAATGTGAGTTGAAGCTGAAATAATCGGATTAACACAGCCAGGGTAACAAATTCCTCATCCACTCACAGTCCATACATATCTCGGCATAAGAAGGGAGATGTCCACAGTCTTACTTGTGCTGCCGCGGTGATGACCGATTTTTCTTGTGTTGCATGCTCTCATTGATGCGATACAACTGCACCTGCAGCTGCTTAATCTCGCAGTTACGATTCGTCCGTGGACATTCCCATGCTCAGATATGAACTGTACAGTGTACTTAGTGCGGACGCGTGTGCGTTGTCAGTTGCGGCTGACGTTTGGCGCAATGCGCAAACTCGTTCGTCTACCAGTTTATGTAGCCGGCCAATGACTGATTGTATGCTTACATCACCTTTCCGTATGACTTTATGTAGCTATATGTACTTTTGTGGCCATGCCGCCTCAACAAGAAGGCACGAGAAACGGCTTCGACGGGGTGGACATACTCATACTTGGCGACACGCCCAACCGTTCGAAGCGAAGTAGAGTGTACATGTGTTTATGTACATAAATATTTGTCGAGCTATGGAGAAAATCATATTCTACCCATTAGAGCACCTTTTTCGACACTGTTAGCACGCAAGAATTGTTCTTGTAGTTCATATAATTCGGTGCACTAAACAGTGTAACAAGACGACCGTCAAATGAGATTCGATATCCGTTTTTGTACATCTGCAAGGATTCCGAAATTTCATGCAATAGATTACTAAGTGCCTGAGTATTGGTATAATAGTGGTTACAAAGACAAAGTCAGAGGACGGTATGGAAAGCGGCGATTATGTGGGTCGCATGATTTCTTCGTGCGACTGCTGCAAATGATTAATGCAGTGGTTCTTCTGCGCTTTGATGCACACATTTTTCCATAAAACAATTCCGCTCTACCGATATTGATCATCACTTTACTTACGCGACACTCATCGCGCTCAAGATCTCCCAAAACGGAATTGCGCGCCAACTTCGAATATAAACACCGGTCTCTACGGACAACGAACTCAATTCCTTTGAACGCGTCGATCTTCTCTTTTTCTCTGCACTATCTCGTCCGCATGGCACTCTATGGCCGTTGTGAGTTTCGCTCACACCGTTTTCCTGGCTCGCCATACGTTTTTTGCACGTTTCGATGCTTTGGCAGCCGCTGCCTCTATCCGTCTGCGTCACAGGGTTTCGTAACAGGACCATGCACAAAAGTTCAAGATGTCACGTAAACATGAACACCCTGTGCCCGTTCTTCCGTTCATTTGCTCCTCGCCAGCCCACAATTCTCCTTCTTACCGTCTACTGAACCTTTTTCTATTCGTATCTATGTGTTCGACGCCCCTTTGTAATTTAAGCCGACATCTCCCTGGCGCATGCTACCGCAATTTTGTTAGAGCTCAGTATCCCTTTGCTTGCACGGCAGTTTCCTTTTGTTGCCACATTCGGGTTCTATTTGTTAATGAGGGTTTCCTCAGTTTCTACAATGAGTTAATTCGTGTAGAAAATTTGAAGATAAATCCCGTATAATCCGATGAACGTCTACTGCCCAGGAAGAGGTTGTTCCAGCCCAGCGACTTGAGGGTTGAACCACCCTGGATAGAAGCTTTGAGAGTAGAGCTTCCCAACTGCATCCCCTGGCATCATCGTTGATCTGCGGATGTAAAGGGGAGAACATCAGGTTAGGGGAGACGTTTCATGAAAGTTTTCTACGGTAAACAGCATTGACTGCTGGTTTCTTCTTTACTTTTTCAATTTTTCTCGCAAGAATATTCATACGATTGCCTCGCAGAGGTATTTACGCCGCGGTTTTAGCTGTCACGGTGCACGGACTAAAAAGGTCTACGGAGGGCTACAGAAAAAATGATGAAATGTTCTAAGTTGCATGGGAGAAACAGGAAAGTGAATAATGAAAAATTCAAAAAAGGTTGGGAGAAGATGTACAACGGCTGCTCAAAAACAGCAGAAAATCTCTTATCGGTGCCAGATGGCATAAGAGAATACCTCAAAATCAAGCTTCACACCGCACAATGCCCACATGCTGACGATTCACGTGAAATCAAAAACATAATTGAAACCACAGAAGCAATTCATACCGACTCGTACCGACTAACGTCATGACTTGCGATGCCCACTCAAACCGGAGCGAAGAGTATTGCACTAGAACAACCGAAGGCCTAGGTCTACATGTGAAATCCCATATAAGTGGACCCAGCTGTGCACCTTACCAAGAAATCAGCGTCACTCATAACAAGGAATGTTGTTAAACACGGAATGTTGTCAGTCTCATGCCAACGGTCGAGAGCTGTTCGGAGCTCTCACACGGACCGTCCGAGCATTTGGCCGTGCACCGAGGGCTATTCTACGGAGACAATGACGGGACAACTGTATCCATGATCGAGTACAAATTGGTCATCGTACGCAGTTGCAAACGAATGCTGAACTACAGTTTTCTGATTCTGATGACGCATCCACTCGCTTAGAAGAAGCTGAAAGAGTACGCAAGCATG